TGAGGGCATAGACTTATCTATGCCCGTCAACTTAAGGACCCTTTCCGAGCCTGAAACATACCGATACCTGGGTATGCCACAGAACATCGGTATCGATGAGGCTGGTATGAAACAGTCAGTTTGCAACGTGTTTTATGCACGCTTGACCAAAGTGCTTAACATCCTTTTATCCGGTGTGAATAAGACACACGCATATAACGGTTGGGACATGCCTGTCCTCATCGGCCACCTGCACTCACCAGACGACGCGCGGAAGTAGAGCTTCCACTTCACGCCGATATTCCGTGAGGTTGTGGTACCTTTGGCATACTCAGGTGGACTCAGACTGAACTTAACGCCCTGGATAGAAAAGTCCGCACTACCATGACGTCCCATAGGATGCATCATCCGAGATCGTCGGTAATGAGGCTGTACTTGCCGTGAAAGCATGGTGGGCGTGGTTTCTTGAGCGCGCTGGAAAGAAATGACGTCCTTATAGAATGGATCGGATGATCCATTCTATAAGGACGTCATTTCTTGTGATAAAGGACTACAATGCAAAACCCAGTAGTGCAGAGCATTTACGGGACCTATGGAAAAAAAGCTGGTTACAAGGCTCTACATGAGCCTTTCGTAGACACAGTAGCCTCCCTCCACTGCCTACGCTTTGGTGACCTCTTCGGGGGAAACTGAGGGTTTGCTTTGTCTGGGTCTGCAATACAGGATCAGGTTATTAAGACCAACAACTATCGGAGATACATCCTAAAGGATGGCACCGTCGGCATCTGTCGTGCTTGTCGCCATCCCGGTGAGTTACTTAGGCATGTCATCTCCGGTTGTTCGACGCTTTCTAACTCTGAGTACTTGTGCAGACACAACCTAGTAGCCAGAATTCTTCACCAGAAACTCGCTTTGAAATACGGTCTCGTGGATCGGAAATTGCCGTATTACAAGTACTTGCGGAAGCCGTGCTCGAAAATAATCGCGTCAGGCTCTATTGTGACCGGGTCATCATCACAGACAGGACTATTCTTGCGAATAAGCCCGATATTGTGCTGATGGACCGGGCACAGTCAAGGATATTTTTGGTCGACATTACCATTCCGTATGACGAAAACCTCGTGAAAGTCGAAACAGATAAGCAAACAAAATATCTGGACCTGGCTCACGAGGTGACCGACATTATTTATTGATATTTATATTTATCTTTTCATTTCCATTTATAATTTTATATTTATAGAACCCAACCAGATGAGAAAACGATATTGATACCCCCCATAATAATAATGTCCTCCAGACCGAATTCCGGCCACGGCGGCCTGCCTAAACGGAGGCTAGCCATCGACGCAGTACAGGATTATAGTGCCCAAGCGTATGCGCAAGCACAGGTGCACTCTCTATTCCCTCACTCTCATAATCCGATGGGACGGTAAACCGACACGACCGGAGAGAGATCAGGCGCAGGACCAACGGCTTTACGTGCTTTCCTAGGCACGGGAGTGAGACACCGCCAACTTCCTGACTCCGGGCAGCTACTGAGAATTTCTTGACGGAAAATCTCAATAATTAATTTTTTGGCCCAACCTGGGATTCGAACCCAGAACCTCATGATCAGCAGTCGCACTACTACAACCACAAGTCCAACGAGGCAGTCAAGACACCATTCGGAAGAATAACACCATACTCTACATTTATTCTTAAAATGTTTTAAGTATTTTTATTCTCGTGTGATTTAGTTAATTACTTAATATTTAATTATATTTGTTTAGTAAATACATATATAACTTATTATGACCTCACTTTCATTGCGACAGCCCTGAAAATTGAGACTAAATCATAATATAAAACTTAAAGGAAAATGTTAAATATGATAGGAGGATTACCACCTTCAGGCTTTTTTATAGTATAAGGGCATATAAAAGTGTATAATATCATCTAAATTTTTAAAACAGTAAAGTCAAGTGTAGCTTTAGTATTACTATATTAATTGCATAGTTAGTAGCTATGCAATTAATATAGTAATACCTTTTTTAACTTAATACTCTGTTGCCTGCGATTTCTTTTATGCAAAATAATATAATCTCAAAATGCTACTATATTGTTAACCAATTTAAAATTATTTTTTATTTTAAGTTATGCGTAAAATATAGTTGATACCATATTTTATGAGATAATACTATATTAAAGGTTTGGAGTTGCATTTATCTCGAAATGACACCATATCCCTTTCAAAATATTTAGTATTTTATGCATGTTCTATTATCGGCTCGGCAATTATGAATCGCAACAGAAGAATACTAAGTATTATACTACGTAATAATGCTGACCACAGCAAATACAATGCAAGTAGCAAGCACTAAGAACAAAGACGATGATAATGGATTCAAAAATCCATTCAACCTTTCTTGGACAATGTTTATGGACGCTGTAGCAAATTACAGCTCAGCACGAATGAGGCGTCTCTACCGAGGAACGCACTCGCACAAAATAAGCGTGAAATAGTACCATAATGCTGTATTTCGTGTGGTGTAATAAATAATTTGAATGATTATTTTTATATTTACGCGAACACTACACGTTGATGAAAACCACTTGTAAGGATTTTATCGCGTTTAATTTACATGATTTTAATTCCCAGCGTTTCTGCGTATATCGGACCATAAATAATAATAAAAAAGCTGAAGGTACTCCGGGTTAACAATGACATCGTGACGTCAGTCACCTTAGATTTCGTAACCATGGGTGCCGGAAAGCTCCCGAAACGTTGGGAATTAAAAATCATGTAAATTAAATGCGATAAAATCCGTAAAAGTAGTTTTAATCAATTTGAATGATTATTGATAAGCAAACTACGTGACACTATAAAGGACCACATTAATCAAATTGAGTCTAAATATGAAAAAAATGTGTGGGAATCAGTATTCGAATAAAAATATTGATTGTGATTCTAATACACTTTTTACTTTCAGGTTGACAAACAAGAATTAATGTTTGTAAGCAATATTTTATCGATCAAAACTACTTTTACGGATTTTATCGCATTTAATTTTTAATATCTTGCAAGTCTGCAGTCTGCAGGAAGTCTGCAGTTTGTGATCATATCCTAGAGGGCCCCAACCATTACATCAGATTTGATAGACTACAAATCCTCTCGCAAGAACACCGATTCCTACCACGGATGATACGTGAGACTATTGAAATTAAAAAAGATCATAATTTCAATAAAAAAGGAGATTGGGTACTACCACCGGCTTGAGACCCTATAATGAATAAAATTAAAACTAAACCCAAGCATACCACTGCAAGACTTCAAAACACAGTCAGTTCGTTTTGCATAGATAGGACCACAAGCAATAGTTAAAAAAGCTGAAGGTACTCCCAGGCTTAACAATGACAGAACGTCGGTCATCTCAGTCCCCCGTGATCATGGGTACTGGAAAGCACCCGAAACGTCGGGAATTAACAATTAAACGCGATAAAATCCGTAAAAGTAGTTTTAATTAATGTGTAGTATTCGCGTAAATATAAGAAATCATTAAGAAATATTTTAGCTTACTTTGGGCACTAATGACAGAGATTTAACTGTTAGATGAAAGGCAAATACAAGAGTTTCTTGCAAATGATATACGATATAAAGATACTAATCCGTTAGAATTGGAGTAAGAGTACGTTATGTAAGTAACTTCATTGATACAATACAAAGAGTAAAAAATTACTACACGTGAGATAAAGGTAGCCGGGTACACAATATCGGAGTTAAGACTTAAAGTCTTAACTCCGACATTGGTTTCAAAACTTTAAAAAAAATTAGTAACCAATATTTATCAAACTATTTCATACAGGCTCAAATATTACTTTTTAAATCCTACGAAGGACAGCTGAAAACTTTGCATTAGTTATGAAAACAATACAATAGTTTAGAGTTCAAACTAGAGTTTAAAACAAACTTAAACATTCCGCATAAATCATGAGATATGTTGATCCTTGTGAGAATACTAAGTCATGGTCATAAAATTATTGTAATTGTATTGGTGTATTGTGTAAAATTGTATTGCCATCTGTTCTTAATAAATGTGTAAAATTTAAGTTACTAAGGCTCCGGAAGTAGATGAAATATGAATATTATGAAATTCATACATATCTACGTACATGATGTTCAAGTAAAAAGTGTTGAAAACGCTTAATTGCAACCAAATTTTATGATCATCATGTTGGAAAAAATATCAGAGCATATAAAATAATACGAATTTGGGAATATCCTATAACCTGTTTTGATAATACTCGTACTTTACAAAATATTATTGGCTTTCTCAACCCTTAAGCAGAACCTGTGGGTATTCTAATGTTGTATACAACTAGATATATAATAGGTATACGAAATAGAAAAGGGCCTTACAAGCAGTCATAGGTTTATCGTATTATCTAGTTCATGTCCCAATTTTAACGATCCGTTATTTATTATTATTATCATGAAATAACGCTGATATAAATTTTTTCTGCATGATCATTTTGATTTTTTTAATTCATTATTTAGATAAAAATGCGTAACTATAAATAAGGTAATTAATTCAATAATTTCTTACTAGAAACCATAACTTTTATTAATGCAACTTTTTATTGGAACGATAGACTTAAGTAGACAGTTAAAAATACGGTAAAAGGATACTTTAAACTAATGTAGGAAGACACACATAACAAGAAGCGTTATCACAACCCGCCACCATCGCACACAAACAAAGGCATCATCGCCAAAATACACCCACACATTAACAGATTACACATATATGCCAAATACGTTGCGGTATCCGACTTAACGTAAGAAGTCGTATAAGAGGCACATCTTTGAGTTTGCACATTTTAGTATTAAAAGCCTGTCGTTGGCGGGCGGAACATGTTAGCGAAATTTAGCACGAAACGAGCTTAGCCGCCGCTGTATAGAGGCTTTATCTTGTGTTGTATATTGACATAGCAGATCGAAACTAGGGCTGAACACGGGGGCCTTATGGGCCAACTCCTGCGCCATGCAGCGAGGGATATTATTTTGTATACTGGTATGTTAGTTTTACCCTTATATTATGTGCATATTTATAAATTCTTATTACAAATATTAAAACAGTACTTAATTGTAAAACACCTAAATTATTTTATACAAACTTATTTTTAACATTTTTCTCCTTTTTAGGATTATCATAAATATTACACAAAAACATATAATATATATACTAATAAATCGTAAATAAACCTACTATATATTTGTTAAAAAAAATTAAACAGTTCTAGAGGCATGTTAAACGTATTTAAATATATTATTATTTATTTTATTTAACTATTAAATTGAACTAAAATATAAAAATACGGTTAAAATAACTTAGTGAGGTTCACATTTATATAAAACAAAAATGCTGCTCTCGAGGGGCAGATTAAACAAGAAATGAGATTTTTTTTAAAAACAACCTTGACATTTTCTTGGGATTGGTATCTTATAAATTTATAAGTTAGTCATCGCTCGAAAAAAGACAGATCCATACGTAAGTTTGTAATTTATATAATATTTTAATTCTATGTTATAATACAGTCATATGAAAATTTAAACTGTGCTTATCTCAGTATATTATATATCTATTTTATTAAAATACGTCGCTAAAATGATACCAATAATCAGTGTCATATAGAGAGAAGACTGGATACACTTTTTCACGAGGTATTTCATCATAATCCTTCGGGGGGACATCATCATCATCATCATCATTACAGCCCTTCATAAGTTCACGGCTGAATATAGGCCTCGCCCCTAAGAATGCCACAAAGCATGGTCCTAAGCCACCCGTATCCAACGACTTCCTGCATTTCTTACCAGGTTGTTACTCCATCTAGTGGGGAGTCGCCCCACATTTCGCTTACCGGTACTCGAGAACCTTTCTTCCCCATCGGTTATCGGTTCTTCGAGCTATACGACCGGCCCATTGCAACATCATATTACTAATCTGTTGGGCTATGTCGGTTACTCTGGTTCAACAGCGGATATCCTCATTTCTAAGTTTATCACGCAGAGAAACCCCCAACATAGCACTATCCATATTTCGCTGAGTGACCTTGAGCTTCCTCATACGGCCAGCAGTGAAGGACAAAGGACAAATGTCTCAGATCCATAAGTTATCACTGGCAACACCCTTGTACTCTCGTTTTCAAGTACCTCTGAAATCCCTCGTTGAATCCGTCTATTGACCTCTCGTTCGAAGTTGGACTTCCTAGTCGGACTATTTGTCCCAAGTAAACTAATACTCATCAAAAAAAATACTCGACAACAACTTAGAGCTTAGTGCTCATGATCACATGATCTTTCTTTTGTTCATGTTCATCTTAAGACCTATCCGCTTGAGCACCATTGAGATCATTGAGCCTAGTGCTTAGGTCCTTCGAGAATTCTGTCATAAGGATTATATCGGCGGCCAATCTAAGGTGAGTGATGTACTCGCCATTGATGTTATTACCGTATCTTTTCCAGTCCAGTAGCTTGAAAACTTCTTCCAATGCAGAGGTGAAGAGTTTCGGGGATATAACGTCACTCTGTCCAAAACCTCTGTGCAACTGGATAGCTTTCGTACTCTGGTTCTGTACTCGGATAGCCATCGTAGCTCTAGTGTACAAATACTTCAGCACATCAATATACCGACAGTAAACTTGGCAGAAGTCCCTTCTGCAACAGGGGTGACAACAAAAGTGCATTTTGATTCTTAAGCAAGAATAGAAGTAGATGTCAAGGTTCACAGCATGCACTAGTCCACTACCCATCAGATGGACTTTGTACTCGTTTGCTACCCTTATTCTAATAATAATAATAATAAACATTTATTTCTCCCACTTTTTACATAATTACAATAGTTTCATAAATAGTTAAAGAGTTTTTGAGTAGTAGTGGGAGACAGGAGCCAAAACTAGGTTACCCTGTGCTATGGGTCTCCTGGCTCCCCCCTCTTGGCTTTATTACATACTTTTCGATTATACTGTTCTTAGACATGAATTGAGCGTTGCATGTGGAGATCGAATATGAGATTTCCAAAGTGTAATTTACAATTAAAGTCATATAGAATAAATATAATATGCAATATGTTTTAAATGATAATAATAAAAGTATATAATCAAAATTTTATATAAATATATATACACATATATAAATACATAGATATATATACATATACAATCATACAAATATACGTGTGCGTGTGTGTGTGTGTGTGTGTGTGTGTGTGTGTGTGTGTGTGTGTGTGTGTGTGTGTGTGTTTTTTTCTTACATTTATATTTTGCTAGTTGAAAAATTTAATGTTTTTTATTAACTTTATTATATAACCTGCCTATTCTGTACCCATAAAACTTTTGGGCGAAAGTAAAATTTTGCTTGTATCGTTTCACATACCTCATAATTTCTTCTCCTAGTTTGTGGTAAATTGGGTGTATACACAGTGCAAGTGTGTTTTTTTAAAATTGAATACAATATGTATAATTTTCGTACTGTAAGCACGTTAGCTTCATTGAATAAACTGGTTGTTGAGAAAAATTTTGGTTTATAAAGTGCAACTTTTAAAATCATTCGTTGAGCTCTTTCCAATTCAAGCATGTGTGTTTTATTTATATTCTATAAAAAACATCTACGTATTCGATACAAAATTAGAAGTACAATTTTAAAAGAAACATTTGAATAACAACTGTGCAGCAATGCGGTTAGATGAATAGATTTTCATTACATTTTATTGTACTTACTAATACTCTAGTACTCTATGCCTACTGATTATATTATGTATATATGTTAGGGCTTATTTTTGTGTAAATAATGAACCTAAAATAATTCGGCTCGGGTTAGTTTTGAGCGTAGCCCAATATTATCCTTAAGCTTTTATTTGTAATCAATTTTTGAAACACTTGCTGACATCCGATAGAGCTGAATTTTAGCATATTTAAGTAACTTCGTTGACAACGCAAGAAAGAAAGAATGCTTAGCATGAAAGTTTGTTTCATGCTGAGTCGACTAAGTAGAAATAATAGTAAGATAAACTGAGAAGAAGTCACATAACTTGAATTGTTTATTGTTTTTATTTAACTAAAACTACACACAACTTGTTTAAATTCAGAGATATTCAATTTAACCATGGGTAAAACTATATGAAGTCGGTTGCTTGTAGGTTGAGGCGCGACGGAAGTGACCCTTGAGCCACTCAAAGCCGCCAACATTTATATAATATATAAATTATTCGGCTAAAATAGAAAAGTGTATTGCAAATGAACATTATATCTAACACTATTTCTACGAACAAATTACACCCAAGTTAAAGCCTGTTTATATGCTAAACCTAAGTTTAGACTAATCTTAAGTTTATTTTTATAACAGGACTAACATAACATATACATACAAATATATATTCGAAAGAGATATTTCGATTCGGGAAAATAAAACAAGGCAACATTTACACTTATGGAGCCGTTATAAATTATTAATTTGTTCTTGTAAAACCCAAAACATCGATACACGGAAGTAACTCTTTAAGATATTTCTACGCCACACAAACATTCGTAAAATTAATTTCAAATGTTTTAAAAGACACAGTTGCAATTAAACTCCGTCTAAACTAATGATAATACCGATCCTATTAATATTATCTTACTGGATTTCCTTGACAAAATCGACACTCCACAAAGCTTATTTGAAATTCCACTATATTTATAATAAAATCGACATTTTTAAAATACATATCCATTGACAAATCAAACTAGGTAAATAAATTCATCATAATAATTAAAAAACCTATGGTGGGTAGAGGGGCTTTGCTTTTTAATCGAGGAAAGGGGAAAAAACTTTTAAAAGCCCTTTTTTTTCAAACGTCATCACTACATATTTAAAAAAAAAAAGAAATTTCTTACTACATAAATTAATTTGGATTAAGTAAATGAGTATGTAGTTTAAACAACCAGTAATTAATTAAATTATTAATTTTATGTCATCATTCATATATATTTCATATTCTCCTAATTTGTAAACGACATTTTTTAAACATTTAAAATAATAGGTTGTTATCCCGTTACAAAATCCTGTTTCAAAAAACAGCATCGCTTCTTAAATCAAATAATAAAAAGAAGAATATAAATCTAAACAATAACTAATCCCTCTTTTGTTTTAAAAATAAAGTTGAACGTCCTTTTTACGTTCTCAGAGTACTAAATTTGTAGACCATTATCACGCAAATGGCGTGTACCATTTTGAGAACTTGCTCCATCGCACCATCTTTACTGGCACTGTACTCGGAATCGCCAAAATGTTCGTAGTTTCACCAAATTAACCACATCTCAAAAAGTGATGAGAAGCAATATAAAATTGTTTAAATTTAGACTACACTTCTCATTTAACAATAAGCCAGACGTACGAGCATTTACGTAAAAAGCACTGATTGTCAATGGAGTAATGAAACAAAAGGATAAAGAACCGGGTTTGTCTCGCCGAGAAACATGTCAGCAGACAGTAACCGTAATCGTTAGAGAGTATTGTGTGCTATACATAATGGAAAAATAGTCGAGTCTACCTTCTAGAGAATATAAGACTAGGTTAAACGTTCCATTAAGAGATGGCCTATAGGACAGGAAGAGGTGATTCTTCTGACTTATCGCTACGTAATCAAAAAGTTTATTTACCCACAGAATTAAATTTGTTTGAATTATAAGACAATTTTCTATGAAAATAGCTCATTGAATCATTCAACAGCTCTTACTATGTATTTATTTTTAGGTTATTTATTTATTCCTTAAAAAAATGTTAATTTTGGTACAACAAATCACATGACACGGCATTCATAGTACGAGTAACATATCACACTACAACAGAATTTTATAATCAAATTATCAAGCTTTTTATATTATCCTGGGAAAAAGGCTAGTAGTTATAAATAATAATAAACTTGCGTAAAATTAACTTTATTCATTCGAGTGAATGAACTTTATAAGTTTATAACAGTTTCGTTTGCGAGCCGAACCACACTTAAACATATAATTTTAGTTTTTCTGTTAG